ACTTGTCTCATGCTAGTCGACCAAAACTTTTCTCATTACAACCAACTAACCCACACACATTCGCTCAGATATACACCCTCAAAACACATACGCAACACAGACTCAAAACGCTGGCCACAAAGCAGCTTCCAATTCAATCATAACTTGCCAACACCCGCAGCTATAGCTGCAGAGAGCCTTCCCTAAAAGCACAAGCCCCGACCTACTCCGATCCACACTTGAGCCACATTGCCGTAAGCGTTAAAATTTACGAGTAGCTGGTGGGGCAGACTAGCTGCTACACACACACACACACTCACACAGTTTTACACACACACACACCTCTGGCCAGAGAGCACACGCCCATATAATTTTGATTACACTTGTTTTCTAAATACTCTGACTATAAAAAAACCACAGTGAAACACATGCGAGCAAATAAAATCCAGGACTACTGCACGGGCGTGTGCTAGGTGCGTGCTGAATGCTGCGGAGTGGTGGGAGCGGAGGGGAGCGCGGGGCCTAAGCGCCTTACCAACAAATTGCAGTTAAAAGCGACGGCCAGAAATCTGCGCTGCTTGGTAACCACGCATGCCCCTCCCATCGTCCCTACGCCAGCCAACGTAAACACGCGCACAGCAGGACATGTGGGTAAGGATATGAAGGATATGCCGTTGTTTTACAAAACACGTGTGCGATTTAACAACTACAATAAACGCAACAACAACAACAACAACAAAATACAATAACAAGTACAAAATCAACTACAAATGCAACCAAAAGCAAGCAAAAGTAATTTCCGAAAAAAACAAAACAACAACAAAAAAATACTTTCAATATGGCGGCGAGTTTTGTTGCGTTTTTATGTAACCGCCATAAAAAAGTTATTAATGTGTGTAGGTTTTGCGTGTGTGTGAGTGTGTGCATACGCCACAAAATGGCGCGGGCGTGTGCAAGCGTTAATGTGGCAAAAATGTTTTTGCAATGAACTTTTCTATTGGGCTCTATGGGCTCCACACGATTTTAAATGCCTTCAATGGGAGAGGAATAAAACTAGTGCCTGCTCTTAGATGAGCCCATAATGTTTAATGCAGATCGTTACAGTGACTTGTAAGGCACCATGTTCCTGTAGGGATATGTCCGAGTTAGGGCATGTTTTGGCTATGGAAAGAATATAACTTATTGATTTAGCTGGAGGCAGGTCTCTTGACTGACATATCAGCATTTGAGTATATTAGAATATAATCCACTATTTTGAGGACAATTAAAGACTTTTAATTTTTCCATACATAAACCCAAGCAAAAGCCCATTTTTATTTTTATTTTAAAGTATATTTATAGCACATTGGGATGCTGTCCTCTGGTGTACAACAGAAACTTGGGACTCCAAGGCATCGAAATATATTTTAAGGTTATTTGTGATACTTACCCGATCAAAGATCTGACGGGAAGTGCGGTTGATGCAACTCCAGCAAGCTTTCACTGGAAATCAATATTCCGATTCTTTTGCGAGCATTAAATGGAATATCGTTCCCGAAACGGGCTTTTTTGACTCAAGATTTTCGAAATCTATAAAATCTATTGATTTTAAGGGGTCATACCCCTAAAATCGATAAATATCTATTTAAAGGGTTTTTATCTGAAATTCATTCCCCGAAAATCGAGAAATATCTATTTTAACGGTCAGTTCAAAAGTTGTTACCCCATTAAATTGATATTTATCGATTTTCGGGATACTTTGCTATTCGTCGTTCTAGCAGCTGCGTGGATAAAAACACCGTTTGCACACTACGGAAAACTTAGTGGATGCGTTTTCGTTCTACGTCTGGAGAGCAGGAGGGCTGATAACTTTGACGTAGACTGGAATAGCGCGACATCAGCCAACTTGCTGTGATATAAGGTAAGATTATAGCTTTAGGTTTTTCAGTTCGTATTACATTATCCATATTGTATATATATAGCCTGAAGCAGACTGTGTTTTCTTTCTCTCCCGCCTGCTATAGCCAAAGGACCTCATGGTATTGGCAGCTTTTGGCGTTTGTTCTTTGATGTCCTTTGGCCAACATAAAGTACTTGTTCTGCCAACTTAGAATAATTAAGTAACAGGACAAACATCCTTCAATTAGGTGGGGAAAATATATTTTTCTCTGTAGAGATAAAAGGCTGTAGATCGGCCGTATCCTTGCCGATCATGATGTCCATTTGCCAACCGTTAGTCTTTATCCTCCCAATTCAGAATATATATTGAAAAGGACGAAAGTCCTTTAGACAGCCTAGAAAGAAGTAAAATTCTTTCGTAAATTCATAGGTCTATAAGTCGGCCGTATCCTTGTAGATCCTGACAAGTCCTGTTGCAAACAAATCGTATGAACAAGGACCTTAAGCTGTCGAAAGGACAACCAAATCGTCTTTGCCGTTTCCGTGATATGGCAAATTTTCTAAAAAGGACATTTTTTAATTAACCATAACTCGGCCAAATCCTTAAGGATATCGGAAGGATATACCGTTTTGAATTCGTGGAGAGCAGGACTTTCGATCGGCATTCAAGGATTTCCAGGATTCGACAAAAAATTTCGTCGAAATTTATCCTAGGGGGTTGGTCGCAAAATTGGCTTAAATCGAAAAATTCGGGACTAACTTGGCCATTTGAAGGACTATCGGGATGTCCTTTGGACAGTAGATAGTACTCGTCCTCCCATTTAAGAAAATATAACACAGAGGACGAAAGTACTTCAAATGGCAAAGTTTTAAGGACAATTTTTGCAAGTGAAAATAAGCCATAGCTCGGCCATATCGTGGCGTATCCTGACAAGTCCTGTGGCAAATAAATTGTATTAACCAGGACTACCAACTGGCAAAAATTCATTTAGATCGTCCTGCTGGTTTTAAAGATATTCAAGGATTTGTGTTTTCGGGCCATTTCCGTGCGCTCCGGGATGAAAATTTCACAAGTAAAAATACAAGTCCTGGGGTTCTTAGATGACCCCATATTTTTTTGATGCAATTCGATGCAGGGGGTCTATGCGACCCTAACGCACCATATCCTTTGAAAATCTGCAAGGACCTGCCTAAGCTATGGCCTTTTTTCGTTGCATAAATGGCTCCATATATATTTTTTCCCTGTTTAATTTCAATGTGTTTTTATCATTTCAGACCGCCAAATTAAGGACTATAAGGACCTCTAAGGACCTCCACGAGTGACAAAGCAGATTTTTTAAGGATCGGACTTAATTAAGGCCAGATTTAGTTAATTTAAGTTTAAGTAAGCTAAAATTATAAATTATGCTCGTTTTGTATAATTTTAAGAGAAATAATTAAGAAAATTAGCATAAAAAACAGCAATTTTATAAATTGAAACATAAATAAATTTAAAATAAAAGCGAAATTCCTGTTTTTTTATATAAAAATTCAAAAATCAACGGTTTTTAGAAATCCATTGCATACCGCTGGCGCTGGAGCTCTGTCGTTTTGGAACGTCATATCTCCATCGGCAACCGCTGGCGCTGGAGTTCTGTCGTTTTGGAACGTCATATCTCCATTGGCAACCGCTGGCGCTGGAGCTATGTCGTTTTGGAACGTCATATCTCCATTGGCAACCGCTGGCGCTGGAGTTATGTCGTTTTGGAACGTCATATCTCCATTGGCAACCACTGGCGCTGGAGTTCTATCGTTTTGGAACGTCATTGCCAGATATAGTTATTTTAATTTTAAATAAGCAATAATTATAATTTATGCTCGATTTATATAATTTTAAGAGAAATAATTAAGAAAATTTGCATAAAAACAACAATTTTATAAATTTAAGCATAAATAAATCAATTATTTAAAATAAAAAGGACAAACTCCTGTTTTTTTATTTGAAAATGTAAGATTTAACGGTTTTTAGAAGTCCATTGCATACCCGTAAGGGTCGCCCGTTGGCAACCGCTGGCTGCCGAGATTTTTCTTAAAATCTGCCGAAATACCAGGCGAACAGAAATGCCCAGAAGGTCGACAAAAAATATTTTTAGCTGACGAAAAAATTTCATTGCATACCCAAAAGGGGCGCCCTAACGACCGGCTGGGTCCCAAATTTTAACTAAAATTTCCCTAAAATACCAGGCGAACAGAAATGCCCAGAAGGTCGACATACAATATTTTTGCGGCCGAAAAAATTCATTGCATACCCTCACGGGGCGCCTTGGTCGGAGGCTACGCCCCAAATTTGCCCTAAAATTTCACTCAAATACCAGGCGAACATAAATGCTCAGAAGGTCGCCGAGTGGTTTGAATAAAAATGTTCATTGCATAGCATTAAGGGGCAAAAATGTAACTCAATTAAAATGAGTGCTGTTAATTAGCAGTTTATGTAAAATGAGCTCTGTAAGCCGCCTGTTTCTCCTGAAAGAAAAATCATACATGTTTTTGGACCATTTCAATGCACATTTTGCAGGGATCTGGTCCTTTAGGTTCCCAAGGACTATATCGATGGTATTGTATGACCAAGGATATGATAATCGACTAGGAACCATCCAGGAGGCGGGGTTGTTGCTAGGGGCAGCTGTAAAAAGAAAGCATACATATTTTTGGACCACGTTCTTGCACATTTTGCAAGAGCTTGGTCCTATAGGTTCGCTAGGACTATATCCATGGTATGGAATAACCAATGATTTATATGTCAACTAGGTACCAACATTTGCGATTATTTGCTGATTTTAAACAAACTTAAAAACACAAATTCTTAAATGGAAATAACAACGCGGCGATTATGTTCGATCGGCGGAATTATGTCGCTTTAAAACGACAATTAGTTTCTTTAAACGACCTCATTAATTGTTGATTATATGTTGTCCATGGACATGGCAGATTAGGCTGAAAAATACAGAAAATACAGTGTATTAGTTTCAATAAAACACATTGGTTAAAACACATTTGATTTTGTGAAAGACATACCTTTTAGGAATCGTGAAACCCTTAAAACGGACAGCACAACAAGAGTTTTGATTTCAATACCGTTTGAGGTTTCTTTAAATGTCTATTCATTGTATGGATTAACCAATGATATATGTCATCTAGGTACCAACGATACTGAATTAGGTATTTTATGTCTTTAAAATTGACAGAACGAATACTAAGCATGTTGACATTTTGGTCATAATTCAGAATGAGATTTTGTTAAATGCATATCGATGGTATAAAAAACCAAATTTATCCAGGTACCAACGATATTAAATATTTTCGTGTCCATGGCAGATTTGGCTGAAAAATACAAAATACAAAATGATTTAGTATTTTGATAGTTTTGAATAGCTCTCTATCTGTTAAATTATGTCCGACTTTGTAAGGATTTACTTTTGGGGATTTTAGTATTTAGGTCCGACCAGAATTTGCCTACCAGTTTGAGGTAACCATTGCAATTTAACTTGAAGCTGAGAATGCGATTGTTTTATATCAATTGATACTCCCGATCCGTACGAGTCGAAACATTTGAGTTACGGGCGAAATTTGCCCGAGAATAATCACTTATAACATATTCAAAAAGCTTTACTTGACTGCTGGCATTTAACATTAACAGAATTATGTTAAGTGGACGCAAAGTAAACAGATATTGGCGCACAGAAAATTGAGCAAGCAGACCAATAAATCGATTGAGCGCGTTTCAAAGGTAGATAACTCACAGCTAGCCACTCACAAGCATACATTCATATGTAGATATTACTGGAGAAAACACCCACCCGAACATTTGTATGCAAAGATAATCGCAAAATATGCGCGTATTTATGTATGTGCAAATGACTGCTAGTTGCTGCGTTATCTTCTTATTCATCGCGCTCTCACAAATTTTAACGAAACAAAAAATTCTTTATTTTTTTATGACCGTTTTAGGAATGTTTTGTTTTTGTCAAACTTTACAATACGATTTTTTGTTGTGTCAATTAGTACTCCCGATCCGTACGATTCCGAAAATATATTTTCACTCTTATATTTTTGAACAGCTTAACACGACTGTCGGCAATTAACTAAAACGGACTTACGTTGCGCAGGCGAGAAGTGGACATGAAGCTGAAGTGAGTGCTAGTCAAAGGTAGATAAATTGCAAGCAATCACACACATGCACAAATAGACAACATGCAGAGGCAATCGTCAAAACTGTACAGATGTATGTGTGTATGCGTGCTTGTGCATTATCTACATATGCGTCGCGTTCTCTCGAATTTTTGTGTGCTGCTGCACGACTTGCTCTAATTTCTCTTTTCCTCTTTTTTGTTCGCTCGCGAAAATCAGTTTTGTGTAAGCAATCACACACACACACACACACATGCGTAGATAGGTACGTACACACAAATCTGCACAGGCAGAGGGCATCGCCGAACATATAGGCATGCGCACATGCCTTAGACTCGCGCCCAAGCAATGCAAATTTGTTAAAGCCAATAGTTGACTATTCACATTAGCACAGGTTATTTATTAATTATCGGTTGCTGTGTTATTGATTTTAATATAAAAATATGAATATTTTATTTATATATATATATTTTATATATCTTTTTAAGTTATATGTAAATTATGTAAATTAATAGTTTTAGGCTGTGCAAGTCCAGTAAGGCATTTCATTCTAAACGGCGTCTTTACAGATAATAATAGATTTTACATACTATAACTCATGGCATGGCATCATGTCATATCGACTTACTAGACCAAACTAACACATAATAAAGTTGTGCAGATCCAAAGCGGACCAAAATCCCGGCGCTCAGAAAATAGAGCAGGCAAACGACCAAGCGAGAACTTTAATGCAAGCAATTATTGATTGGACCAATCAGCGATCAGCACCACAAAAAGGCGTGAGTGCACGAGCGTAACAAGATAAATGACAGCGAACACACGCACAAACAGGTGACTCGGTATCTCGGACTTTGGCGCTCTCAACGCATACATCTGTTTGTGTGGGTGTGTATGCAGGTCAATGCGTCGCAAAGTTCTCACTCGAATTTTGGTCGTTTGCTTATTTGCTGTGCGCCGGTTTTTTCGTCTGCTCAAGGCACTCACAATTTAACACTCTGTTAATTTGATCCATGTAGTCAATGCCGTTCAAGTAGGCTGACGATTCTGTAATGTATTGTAACCCAAAGACTTTTTCATCAAATTAAATTAGAAGTTCCTGGCCCAAATGAATGTTTAAAGGTATATTTCAGAAGTGGCCTTTATGTATATTTTAATTTACTTTCTTAATTGTTTTCTTCTTAAGGATTTTCTTAAAAGCCAAATTGAAAGAAAACGGCTTAAATATGATATTAGCAGACACCGCCACAAAAACAACCATTCAACAACTCTTAATGGTTCTCATATTTATTACTAAAAGTAGATATGTTTATACGAATGTTCAATGGGATCAAGGCGGAGGCACCATTGCGCATACACATAAATACATACATACATATTTATTTTCGCTTTGCTTTATACATACATACATATATACGCTGATTTCACGGCGCGCAGAAATTGGAGCAAGCAAATGATCTCAAGATAAATTCTTCTTCGTGTGAGCGCCATTCAAAGGTAGATAACGCATAGGAAGCTACAAACAAGCATACACACATATGTAGATATCAAGTGAGGAAACACACACCCAAACATATGTATGTGTGCAGAGAGCATCGCCAAATATGAACGTATGTATGTGTATACTCTTGCTGGTGCATTATCTACTTATGCATCACATCCACACGATTTTTTGCTGCTTACAGACCTAAACACGACTTGCTCTAAATTCTGTGCGCCGATTTTTTAGTCTCGTTCTCGCTCGCTCATATTAGTTTGACCCCAGTAGTAAATATGATTTTCACTCTCAAAAGGCTGAAGACTCTGCATAGCCGCATTTGGCAATTGCTGGTTGTGTGAGAGTACAATCTATGTTAAATATGCAGGGTTATATTGTTTAATACATTGAAATGACCACCTCTCGGACTATATCAGCTTAACAACTCCCCTTCATTAAAAAATATATCCCTTAAATAGGTTGGTGTCTTAAAAATCGATTGGAATAAAAAAGTAATGCAACCACTTGCCTTTTATTTTAACGCATTTGATCAGACATATATTATTTTGTTATACATAGCGTATTTAACAGTTGCCCATAAGGAATGGGCTCTAATAAGCCTGCTGTAAAATAAATATTAAGCTTGTCAACTCTACAACAAGCAAATCGGAGTTACAGTTCTTGCGATGATTTCTCGGCGCACACGAATTATAGCAAGCAAATGATATCAAGATAAATTCTTCTCTTGAGCAATTCGTGTGAGCGCCGTTCGAAGGTGGCCACACACAAACATAAGTAGATATCACTCAAGAAAACACACACCCAAACACATGAATGCACACATAATCCCCAAATACGTACATACACATATATATGTTATATGTATATACACACATACAATTGTATGTGAATAAGCTAGTTCATTTTGATAATAGCTCATAAAAAGACTTTCTCTATTTGGGCAAATATTTCTCGATGTTCAGGCTAACAATTTTAACCAGGCCTTGAAATAAGACGAATACCGACGAGTGGGGAAAATATGGATAGTCCTAGCTTAGTCATAGAAAAAGCAAAAGTCGATAATCTTTGACTATATGTGCGTGTAATAGTTTTGTGTCGAGCTTCAGTTAGCTCCAGAGCTAGGAATGAAATTTAAGATAATTTAAGAGTACAAGTAGCCTGGAAAATTTGGAAACACGTGTTTTGATTTATAAGAATTTAATTTCTGCAGATTTAGTTCCTATCGAACTCCAATTTAATCACTTAAGAAGGATGTCTTTCAAATTTTGGCTTTGTTTAACAATCGTGTCTTTGGCCGTAGCGCACACATACGTCTACACGGATCTCTTAAGACAGACCAAAAAGTCGGGCTTGGCCAGTTATATGACTGACATGTGGTATAGCGTGACTGACGGCTGGGAACAGTTCAAGCTTCAGCTGAAATGGAAGCTGGAAACGGGCCAAAAGTTTGCAATACATGTCCGGAAGACCCTGGCCGAAATACGCGAGAAACGGGAAAAATTGAGGGTCAAAAAAAGTTTCAAATCTGGTTAAAAAAGATCAACATGCCTGTACACTAAAATTGCCCGTAGCTGGTATTTAACTTGTTTTTCGTTTGTGCAGAGCTAAATAATATGTATGTAGTAAAAAGTAAAGAAAGAGATTTTCATTTAATTAATTGCAAATACTTTGGCTGACAGCTGCAAAATCGAGCACCAGTGAAAAACTGTGAAAAGTGGACGCGTCTAATTGGAATTTTCAATTAGGCAATGACCAAATGTAACTTGCCAAAAGATAAACTTTTGTTTTTGTGTGTGTTCGTTGTTGACTTTGACCCTTTGACAGCGTGCGAATACAAATGCAAGTAAGTGGCGATTGAAGTTGGGCATGAAGTAAATAAATTATATAATAGCATCATGCACAGTAGTTCTCTTTAATCTTAGCTGCCACAAAAATCTCGACAGCTGCGCTCCATTGGTGCTCAATGAAATTTCATGACCATTGGGATCTCCAGGAACTACACTCCCGGCGTGAATAGTTGAGCGGGGGCAAGTCGCAAACAATGCTAAAGTTAATTGCCCGTCCGACTTACAACCCCAGCGAGGGCAACTGGCACAACTCGAGCTCCCAGCGCAATTTCTCTTATAAGACGCTTGCAAATCGCAGCAAATTGCGCAGCAGTCGTCGGGCAATCCTGTTGAGAAGCCAGTCAAAAAATCAGAACAATCTTCAAGGGGCTCGCCTGGCATGGAAAGGGAGAAGCAGTTAGTTGCCTTCCGGCTTTCTAATGGCAGTGCCAATATTTGTCAGCTGCTGACAATTGCAGGCACTTTTGTGGGCTGCTAATTTCTGTCGGAGCAGTCAATTAAATTTTCGGCAAGGACTCGGCTGATATCTTCAACTTTCGGGATTAAAACGGCGCCAAATGAATAAATGATGGGGCATGAATGTCAATCAGGGTTAAGCATCGGAAATGAAGACAAACAATCGCTACAAAATGAATGGACACAAATTGAAATACGAGCAAAACCCCAGCACCGACGGGGCGGATGGCACTGACAGGGCTGACGAGGCTGACGGGAGGGCGTTGCAAACTTCACTACTGATGAGTCATGTTGGGCCGGGGCGACAATGCCATTAGTGAACTCTCTGTGCGGCGCTGCGCTGCGCGGCGCGGGGTGGCATAAATTATTAGCCAAAACCACGCCCACAAATTGATAAAGTTTTCCCTCGCCCACTAACAATACTAATGACAGTTGCTGCAAAAGTTTTTCGGGCATCCGAAATCGATTTTAATGGCATCGCAAATAACGCAATGGAAATATCGTCTGTAAATTTGGCAAGCTGAGAAAACAGTTGAGTTGTTTATGCAGTGCCTAACCAAGGGGTGGCTAGGGCTAAAGGTGGCGAATGGGAATAGGCTAAACAAAGTTCGAACTGCAAATGAATTGAGTTTGATGGTGAAAATGTTGTAAAATTTTATAGTTATCGCTGGCAATTTGATGAAATGCGCAACTAGATAGGCTCCCCAAATAGAGTGCTACTACGGCAAAGTGCTGCGAGGAAGCAGCCCGACTATGAAATACCCAGCCTTTACCCAATAAGGAGTATAGAGTTGACTTTGCTGACGGATGCTTAATGTATAACTTTTAATATAATTTGTCTACAAGAGAAGACTAAGCTTCAAATTGTTAAAAATAATAAACGAAACTGGGGTGCTTTCTATAAAATTCAATAATATTGCACAAGCATAATACGCCACGTATGATACCCTCGATGGGCATAAAAAGTAAGCGTATAACTCAGCGAACTGATTGGGCAGCCTTTCAACTTTGCGGGTTTATGGATAAAGTTGGGGCTTTTAGTGGTGCCGCATAAATTTCTGTGTTTCCATAGATGTATTCAAATGTGAATCGTATGATGAAACAGGCTACAAATTTTAATGCACGAATGCCATAAAAGGCGAGCACTGATGAGGCCACACGCTGTGCTGTAAAGTGAAACTAAACTAAACTAAACTTAACTCAGCTCCACTGAGCTGAGCCGAGCCGGGGATAGCTGCCTTAGGAAACTACTTGTGATCAGGGGCAATGGGCTACGACCAGTAATCGCCAGTTGGGCGCCACAAAGATATGCTCGTAAAGCATGCAGCAGGTGGCCAAAAAGTTGTTTCTGCCACGTTCAGTAATTAAAGCCACTGCCACAAAGGCTGTCAGCGTGTGGTCACAATCCATGCGCCGCATGGGTGGTGAGGCAGGAATGGTAGCCACTGGCCTTTATCTGATTTATTTTGCGGTTTCGACTGGCGCGTGCTTCCCTTAATTGTCATAATTTCTTTTTAGCGCCCAAAGCCTTTGCAATAAGAAGGGCTACGGGCAGTGAGAGAAGGTCTCATCAAAGAAGGGCACAAAGAGGAAATTGGGAGGGGAGCATGAAATGATTCAATTCCAAAGCGGCAAATAAAAACAACTGACCCTCTGAGATACGAATGCAAACATGTATTTCTATATGGAATACAAATGTTTTGGGCACAATAAACATTTATTGTGCCATAAATTCTTCGAGTCTTTAGGTCTTGATATCCAGGTGATGCCTTCTACTGGATTTAACACATATTTGCACAACTTTAACACAACTTTTTGTTACCAGAATATGGTTACAGGGTATACAAATCATAAGAAAGCTTAATAGAGCTATACTGTTTCTAATGCCAGCAACTCTTGGTAAGCCACTCGGCAATCATTGCCCAAATATTTCATCTTGAAAAGCTCCCAAAATCTCTGCCGCACATCTAGTTTTGCCATTGGCCTTTCGGCATAATTTATATGCCATTTGTTTCAGAGTTGGTGCGACCTTTTTTAAATAGAACCATGAAATTTGTAAGTGTCGCCTGTCTCTCATCAAGGTACAGTAAAATTCTAGCCATAACCTGAACGTCCCCGCCCCCACTCTAGGGACTAGACACCCCACCTCTCAACGAGCTGAACTTCTACGACCGTGGCTAATGAAAAGAAATATTAAATTCTCACGTTCCAAGGCAGGGCAACAACAAAAGACAAAACAAAAAAAAAGGAACTGAAAACGCTTCAGGCATAATACAAAACCTGAGCAGAACTTCACTCGCATAGTACACAAAAGGTAAATAAAAATTGCAGCAGCGAGTCATTGGGAACTGTATGAGCTGCGAGTTGAGAGCTGGGAGCAGGGAGCTGGGATTTGTACTATGGGCTGACCTTTGCCAAAGTCCCAGTCCCAGTCCCAGTGCCAGTCCCAGTCGCAGTTTCAGACTTACTCGAAGTCGAAGGCGAAGTCAGTCAGCCATTGAGCCAGTCAGCGAGTCGAGCAGCATCCTCAGCCCACGTCGCCGACTGCATCGTTAAAGTCCAAAGGCAAAATAAAACGTGATTCATGTTACTTATCACCCGCACAGCATCGCCAGGCCCGCTCCGGCCAGGCCAGGCCACCAGTCACCACTCTCAATAAGCAGCACAATGCTTTCCCGGTCTTGCTCTGGGTCTGTGACTGGGTCTGAGTCTGAGTCTGGGCCCCGGCTCAGTCCCCGCCGCTGCGCCGCTGTAGCCATAAGTTTCAAGCCAAAACTTGCCCTGTGGCATATGAGGTCGCCATCGCAATCTCCACTGGTTGCTGCTGCTGGTGCTGATGCTGATGCTCATGTTGATGTACTTCATCAATGCCTTTCGTTTGCTCGTTGGCTCATTCTGGCGAATTGTTCTCTAGACGCTGGCGACGCTTTAATAACGTCAAAACAATTTTGAAATTTATGCTCACGACCTTTGCGAAGTGCCCTTTATGATGAAGTCTCATACTGCCCGAATGCCTGCCTTCCGCCATGATCATGCCATGTCGCCCCCCACACTTCTTTGTGTACTATTATTGTCTCTTTATCAATTCGCTTGCTGATTTTTCGTATTATTTGAAATATTGCTTTCGAGCAAACTTACTTTTCTTTTTGCTCTAGCTGCAAAATTTACCAGCAGCTCGTTAATGAGCATTGTGTCATAGATTTGATTAGGCTGACCTATCTTTCTAATGGCTCATAAAAGAAATGTCTTAAAGGTATAGATTTTTTGGCAAAAAGTCGAAAAACAATATATGCTTTTTTGAATCTTTGAGCCGAGTTTTTGACTTGGTCAGGATTGGATTTACGCATCTCTGCTGATTTTCTTAGTAACAAGTTTAAGAATATTCTAAAAGATTTATTTTAAAGTTGCAGCAAGAGTTTGATTAGTTTCACGACGATTTGCAGCCCACAGGATTTGGTATGCACATTTGCATCATACACACCGCAAAGTTGTGCCCACTAGTTTACTTAAACAGTGTGGCACAAATTCAGACTAAGCGCCCTATCGCCCTATCGCCTGTCAGTGGCAGCTTTGGCTTTGTGGCAACTTTCTGAGTTGGCTTGGCGAGTCGGCGAGTCGGGGCAAGTCGATGTGGCAGAAAAAGTTAAGCCAACTGTTTGCTAGTCACGTTCGTCTTGATAACTTGTCGCCAGCTGGAAATCTTCAAATCATGCGACAATGTCGCCAAATCCGCAACCAAGTGTTGCAACATGGCTGCATTGTTGCACACAGCTATTAATGCCGGTGCCATTGCCAGCTTCACTGACGCCTCCGGGCCACGGACGCTTCAAAACGTCAACCATCAAACGAAGCTTAGGCGCACTGAGCCATGCAACCGCCACAGCCAATGCCAACGCCAACGCCAACGCCACCGCCACCACCACTGCGACTGCGACTGCGACTATGACTGCATCCTTATCCGCTTCCTCTACAGATCCACGCCTGCCAGCGTATGTCATCCCTACATTTTGGCCACATTTTGGCCGCCAACTCGCGGCTTGACTTTGGAATTATGCAAAACGACTTCAACTGGCAAAAAAAAAAAAACAAAAACCATATGGAGACATTTTCATGCCGAAATTCTGATGCCCTGCAGTTTTCAATTGAGATTAATAGCAACAATATTGAAAATTAGATATCTATATAGTTACTTTCCTCGAGTTGGCTAAATGTCTAGTTAACTTCTCAAATTATATAACCAATCATAATTATAAGTTGGTAATTATAAGAAATAATATATAAATATATGATAATAATAATAGAAATAATATTAATATTTAAAATAAAAGTAAATATAATAATAATGTAGTAATAGTGTAATAATAAAGTATTATAATAATAATAAAATTATATTAACTAATATTAAACAAAATTTCACACAAAATATGAAAGTAAAAAAATAATGATATAAATTAAAATAATTAACTTAATAATAATACTATAATTATACAAGTATTATTAAATAAGTGCTGCTGATTTCTACTTAAAAGTATAACATTATATGATAATAATTATAAATATAATAATAATAAAATTATATTGATCACTATTGAATTATGAAATAATAATAATTATTAAGAATTAGAATATTAATAAGAATTAAAATAATAGTAATAATGATAATGTAATAATAAAAGTAAAAGTAATAATAACCCAAGATAACTTCTACTTATAGGTATTACACTAACAATAAAAATAAATTATTTTTAGCAATATAATATTATCATTGTAATAATTAAAATAAGGCTAATAATGTTATTTATAGGAGTAATAATATATAATAAGCCAAGACCAGCTAGTTTCAATTGCCTTTCACATCGCTTCTAGATCCCCTCATACCCTGCGTCCATCCAAGTTGTGGGCTATAACGAGCTCAACACTTTCGTGGACGCTCTCGCTGCAGTTGATGCCGCTAATGTAGTGGCCGTGCATGGGATTTAAGTAAGTACCAGCCCAGCGGATGGCATGGAGGAGCATGGCTCAGCCCAGTACTTGGCTGCTTAGGTGCCACCTCCACTTCTAACTCGGCCTCGACTTATACATGATAATCGTGCCCCACAGACATTTAGCATGGCATCCATCTAGAGCATTCAACGTCGCTGCCAACCGCTTTTGGCGTAACTAATTTTTCTCTTGTGTTTTCCATTTATGTTTTTCTTTCCTTTTTTCATTTTTTTTTTTTCTATTTTGTTTTTGTGTCTTTTCAAGTTGCCAGTTTGAACCTTCTGCGGCTGCTGCATTATGCATTTTGCTCAGCTGAAAGCAGCCGAAACGTGATGTTGCCCCGCATTGTTGCAAGCGCTAAGCAATGTTTACGCTTGCAACATTTATTTTGCATGGCAGATGCCCTGCCTTTGTCTTTGCCCCGCCACACGCTCCCACCCTGCAACAGCTACCCACTTTGCCACGGTAATGCCAATTTGGTGCACTTCACTCTGTCTCTCTCCTTCTAAATAGCTCGCAGGCGTTAGCTTCTTTGGTCGCTGTTGTTTTGCACCAGGTTGGCAATCCCCCCACCGAGACCCTCACGCCAGCACGCTGCCGCTCTGCGCTCCCTTATCGTTGAGCGGAGTTGAGTGAACTTCGTAGTTTTTTGTGCCTTGGAGCAAATTGAGTGATTATCAGTTTGCGTTACCTGCGCCAAGCTATGAATGTTGCAAAACTCCCCACGACTCTGATTTCGTTTTGGCCTTAAAGTGTGTGTCCCGCTTTTGCATGGCGCATATTCCAGTTACGCTTTAAGTGACCGAAGACTGAAGTCTTGAAGAGTCGTTGACTTGTTCAGTTAACATTGGGGGCGATTAATTGAAAGCAACCTAGGCGA